GTACAAACCTTTTTTTTTTTTGGAATTGGGGGAGGGGAACCAGCCAAGTTGTTGTTCTTCAGTCTTAGTTGTGGAGGGCGCCAGTCGCCATCTGGCTGCCCATCGGCAGCTTGTGGCCTCTAAGCTCAAGGTGCCGTGTTCAATCTTAGTTGAGGGTGGGCGTAGCCACCATCGCATGTGGGAGTCGAATCAGCAGCCTCCTTGTTAAGAGCGCACGCTGTATCTGCTGAGCCATCCAGGCAGCAGCTCAGCTCAAGGTGCCGAGTTCAGTCTTAGTTGCGGGTGGGCATAGCCACCATCCCATGTGGGAGTCGAACCGGCAGCCTTGTTGTTACGAGCGTGCACTTGCTTTATCCACTGAGCCATCCAGGTGGCAACTCAGCTCAAGGTGCCGAGTTCAGTCTTAGTTGTAGCCAGGCATAGCCCAGCATCAAACAGGCAGTCTTGTTGTTAGGAGCACGTGCTCTCACCAGTTGAGCCATCCTGCCACCTGTTGGCAGCTCAGCGGCAGCTCAGCTCAGGTGCAGCATCACTGGTTCATGTGGGAATCGAACCAGTGACCCTGTTGCTCAGAACTCATGCTCTTAAGCTAACTCTTAACCAACTGAGCCACTCGGCTGGCCCTAAAGATACAAATCTTTTGATCCAGCAGTTTCTCTCCTAGAAATCTGCCCTACTGAGATACTAGTCTGTGTGTGCAAGGATTTATGGTATAGGGATATTGATTGCACCTTTATTTGTAGTAGAGAGGAACTGGAGCTAACCTAAATGTCTGTCTGTAGGGGAGCAGTTAAATTGGATAGCCGTACAGTGAAATGCTGTGCAGCAGTGCAATAGACAGACAGAGCCCTGTATCCCATGTGAAAGCATGGCTACACGATGTTTTTGAGACAATTGTGTTAATGCAAATATGTATAAGAGTTACGCGTGTATTTAGGCAATTATATGGTGTGTTTATAATTTATGAATTTAGAAGTGATACTGTTACCGAAAGTTTTACAATATGTATGTTTGATGCCACTTTTGCTTAAGAAATGGAACCTGGCGTGGGGGTCGCGGGGTGTTTGCATGTGCATGGAACAATCCACACCAGATTTTTAACCATCAGCGCCTCTAAAGAGTGAGACCAGAGGAGGGAGTTCTCGTGCTACATCATTTCTCTTCTGTATTATTTGGGTTCATTGCATCAAGCATGTGTTACTTTTATAATTTTTAAAACGTGTATTTTAAAATGCTGTTTTATCTCCACCACCCCTCTCCCCAAAACAAAACAAAACCAGACTGGAACCCAGGCTCGCCATACAGTGGTCAGAGCTGGTTTTCTCTGTCCCTGCTCAGGGCACGGCCACCACCACTGAACAACAGGCTGGAGTCCAGCTTTTCAGGTGGCACCAGGACAGGCAAGCCAGAGGCTGCCGTCCTCCCTCTGGCCACCCTGCAACACACATGTCATATCTGAGGGCATCCCAGGGCTGCAGGCCATC